CGTGATCTCTAGCAATCTTGTCTTGAACGTATACTGAAGCTAACCCGAGTTTGTAAACTCCAGCACCAAAGTTTTCTAAGTAACATATGTATTTTCGTCTTGACGTTCTCATCCCGAAATTCTTGATCGTAATGTATTGTCTACTTTAACTCTAGTTTGCATTATATTCACTTCTAAGACTCGAATAAGCCAGTTTTTGGCATATTGCATATTAACACCATCCATATAAATCAATTCTTTATACCTGCTAATAATTGCTACAGAAACCTTTAAAAATTCTCTCAAGTTTTTGACACAATGGATAGATATTGCATGTTAAAAAATTTAAATATACTCTGTAAGTGTTCATTTCGTGATTCTAGTATCCATCGTGTTTTAGTTATTTGTCTAGCTGCGATCGCATCTTCACTACTATATTGTTTCAGATTTCACTCAAGTGTGGGAGATATTTTAACTATCATACCGACATTTTCTAAAAAATCTTTAACGTCCCGGTAACCACCATCAATTATAACAATATCATTTTCCCTAAACCATTCAGCTATACCGTTTTATCCTGCTTTCTGTATTTCTTTCAGCAGAATATCAGTATCGTTATTAGTATTATCAAAGAAATAACATAAGAACACAATAAGAACATCAAGAATGTATCTATTTTATACCACTAATAAAGCTGATTTTACAAGATAATAATGCTTGTGGAAACAAAAAGGCTGTCGAGTGACTTAAAAATTACTACTTTTTTTCACCTCAAGATATGTATCATTCACGTAAATAATTGCAACACATTCAGATTATAGAGATGATTTACGAATTCCTTTCCATAGTTATTAACCAATGTTTTAGCATTAATTGCTTGTAAACCAACGTTTCCGGGAACAAACCGTTGCATTAAAGATGTACGTATCAGAGACAATCAAACTTATAGCCTACCTACTACTATATCCAACTATACTAGCAAGAAAGACATCAGTTGCCTTATGCAATATTTTATAAAGAAAAGTTAGTAAACTAAGCGTAGAAAAAAAATTTTTTTTTATTTATTTCAAAAATATTTACAATCTGACTCATAGATTGAGAAAATAAGCAAATGATATTACTATTACACATACATATATTAACATTTAGCCAGTATACTTCAATCTGTATTCTGACTTTGTTTTACAATGGATTTTAACAGTTTAGTTTAATTTATTTTATTTGCTTATTCATAAGATTATGTTTTTGAGTCTGGTATTTTTGATAGATGTCTTGAGGAGTCTGTTGACAAATTGGTTTGGGTGGTATAGAAGTCTGGAGTTATATTTTGCGTAGAAATTTTTAATTTCTTCTTTGACTGTTATAAGGCCTAGATCATTTCGGATAATTTCGTTCGATACGAACCATGAGGCCCGTACTATATTGCGTAAGACTTTCGATTGAAATCTTTTCAGAATTGTAGTATTCGAATTTGAAGCAGCTCCCCATAGCTGAATACTATAAGTCCAGACTAGGTTAAGCATAGCTTTATACAACAGCAGTTTGTTTTCAATTGATAGCTCCGATTTTCCTTCGATGAACCAGTACATTTTCCTCTATTTTAGACACAGATGTTTACGTTTAGTGAATATATGCTCCCTTCATGTAAGTTTTTGGTCTAGGTAGATACCTAGATATTTTATTTGATTACTTTGCGAAATGAATTTTTCGTTTAATTTAATAGATATCTCTTCGAAGTTTTACTTTGATTTACTATTATTCTCCAGGAGTTAAACCAGTTTTGAAGGCAGTTATTTATGTAGTTTTCTAACGTTTTGAATACTATTTTTGCCTCTGAGTGAACTGTTAATATTACTGTATCGTCTGCGTATCGTCTGATGTGTACAATAAATATAATATTGGGCCTAGAACATTTCCTTGTGGTACTCCAGCTTTTATTAACTAACGTTTTGTTATGTATGTACTTATTTTAACTTGGAACTCTCTATTTCATAGATATGACTACAACAATTTGTAGTGGGGCTCCGGAAAAAAAGTCTTTAGCTTATGAAGTAGCTCTTTATGCCAAGACTTGTCGAAAACTTGTGCAACATCCAGGAATGTACCAGTGCAGTGCTTTTTATCTTCGATGTCTTTTCTCGCAACAGATACTATTCTGTTTACTTGCTCGATCGTAGAATGATTACACCTGAAATCAAATTGATGATCGGGGATAAGTTTTCTATTTAGTATTATTGGGTTAATTCTAGCTAATGATAATTTTTAAAACATTTTTGAGGCTGCTGACATAAGGCTAATTGGTCTATATCAAGTCACCATTTCTGGTTCTTTACCAGGTTTAGATATTAAGACAATTTCTGCTACTTTACACTGAGAACGAAAATAGCAGAGATGCAAGCATGCATTGAAAGTAATTGTAAAGTATCTTATTGCAATTTCAGATAAAGTTTTAATCATTGTTCCTGTGACGTTAGCTAATCCCGGGGCTTTTCTATTTTTAATATTTTTAATTATTTGCAATACTTCCTTTATTTTTATCGATTCGATCAGTAAACTGTCTTGGACGTCAGAAAATTTCAGTAAAATTTCTACTTCATGTTCGGAGATTATTCTTCAGTAAGGCGTGAATACTATACTTAAATGATTTGCAAACGTTTCAGCTTTTTCCTCGTCTGATCTTGCCTAGTTTCCGCCAGGTTTTCTGATAGACGATATAAATGTGGTTGGTCTTTTAAGTCGTTCAAGAGATTTCCATAAAGAGTAGTCTGTTGCCTCTTTTAAACTCAAAGTTCTGAGATAGTTTTGCGTTTGTATATTTTTTTCTTCATATTACAATTTCTTTAGGTCTTTAGATGCTTTATTTACCCTTGTTTTATCTTAGCTTGATCTGATTATCTGGTATCTTTTTCTTAACGATCTTTTTTCTTTTAATTTTAGACTATTTTATTGGACATGTTTTGTTGTGTTTTATTTTTATTTATTTCTGTAAAGCATTTACTTATTGATTCAGTTAGTAGCAGATTGAGTGAATTTATGCTATCTTCAATATTTACAGCTCTTTTAAGAGGAATATTGCATGTTATGCGTTCCTCTATATAGGAAGCACATTTTTTCCAATCAACTTTAGTTTCTTTGTATTCATTTTACTTGTTGGTGTAATGTAATCAGTACCAGCGAGTGATCTGATGACAAGTCTAAGCATGATGTAATTTCAAAATAATTCTTGTTTATACCCTTTACTATAACAAAACCAATCAAATCCGAGAGCTTCTTTATGTCTGTAGACCAGTATGTTGGTTCGCCAGTTGATATCGGCATGAAATTATTTTTTTGTACTATTTCATACAGTACTTTGTGTCTAAATGTTGGAGTTGATGATCTAGATCCCTGTCACGGAGGCTTCGCATTGTAATCGCCACCTACTATAAAACGATTTTTGTTTTTGGTAAATCGTAGGATTGAAAAGTTAAAAGAACTGGGTATGATACGGAAGTTAAATAGTTATGGGTAGTTAACTATACTAATGATTAATGTCATTATGAAAGAAAAATAATTCCACAATTCATAAAATGTTAGGGGTGAGAGGACGAATTTGTGGGGTTTTATGGGCTGGGAGTTAATATTTGCAAAATCATTTGGTAGACATTGGAAGGAATTGTACTCAAGAATGACTTGAAAGAGCCGTTGTACTGATTTTTATACCCTTGTTCAGAGCGCTCAGAGCGCTCAGAGCGCTCTCTCCCATTATGTCATTTTCTAAAAGAAGGGACAAAATGATCCAGAAGAAGTCACCCCCTTGTGAGTTCTGAGATCAGTTCTGGGTGAATTTGTGACGTCAGAGAAGATTTAATTCCAGTTGCTACTTGTAATCCAAAATATAAAACAAGTATCATTAACAATCATGTTGTGATTTAACATGAAGCAAGAATCGACCTGTCTTAACTATACATGGGCGAGATAGGAAACGAAGCCAAACATTTACTTTTAATGTTTGTAAAGCCATGATATCACAACTGTTCACCATAAATTCCTTGATTTGAGTGAAAAAGAAGCCAACCACACAAAAACCATATGTTAAGGGAAAATTGGAAAATACAGACCGAGGCCTGAATAATAAGTATACTGAAAGTCAGCATATATATGTATTATTATTAACAAATACCTTAGCTTTTTTCAGGCAGATAGTGAAGTGAAATTGCATAACCCATTAAGTATGCTAAGTTATTATAACAGGCTTTGGAAAAAGTCGTATTTGAGACACTGGGGTGGCGCTACAGTTATAAATCAATAGGGGCATGTATACTTACAGTCTATATTGCTATACGATCTATATCATCAATTGGATTACCCGTAAAATGGTAGAAATTCTGTATTCCCGGCCTCTAGTAGAAGGTAGTATTGTAAGGTAAGAAGGGGGGGGGGGGAAGATATAATTGTCGAAGTTTGACAAGACATGCAAGACTGGACCAAGTGACCATAGGCTGGAATGCAGAAAATCGGATACAACTAGTAAGTACTAATAAACTACGTAGCTCACGTTGGTAGGTGGGCGAAGAGGAAGAGGTAAAGTGAGGTGAAATGGTAGCTGATGAAAACCTCGAGCATAATATTGGTTTAGATAGTTATACACGTAACTATACTAGTAAAATATTTCGGCTAAGTAATCCATCAACATAATCTGTCACACGTTCCTCAAAAATTACCTCCAAAACTAATCTCAAGAATGATTTTATGGGGTTAGAGGTGGGTTTAGAGCTCTATGCCCATTAAGACTTTTGGTCAGTCGATTGAAAACTATCATTTTACGAAGTTTCAATAGAATTGGCCAAAACCCATTTTCCATAAGAAATGTATTTGGTTCTTTACTTTAAAAAATAATCATTACTTGATACAAATTTATTTTAATTTGAGCTATATATATATATATATATATATATATATATATATATATATATATATATATATATATAATAGGGCTAATGAATTACTTAATTACGTATTGATAATATTAATAATTTTACCATTTTGTGGACTGCAAACGGCATTATTCTGGCATTCACATTTTTTAGCACATCCAACTCCATAAAATCCTACTGCACATGGCCGTTCACATTGGAGACCATCCCAGCCTGTTAAAAATGAATATATTATATAAAAGAGATTTATTAATATACTTTGAATATTTACATTACTCGCTCAATGTTTTATTTGTTAACAAATTTTTAACAGTTTTTCTTAAAAAAATCTCTTTTTTGAAGCTACTTATTTGAAACAATAAGATATGGCCATTGGCCAAATAGTTGAAATTTTTATGTAAATGACCACTGACTCAATTTATGATGAAGATATCTATTTGAACAATTCGTTTCGGCAAATTATTCTACAAGTAATTTGTTTTTTCATGATTGATGCTGCAATCAGGTTCAATTTAAAATCGGCTTGGTTGAGTTTCAAGAAAATTTCAGAGAATTTTTCGGAGAACGAAAAGAATGATAATTACGTGACTATAGTTGAAGATTTGTTCGTGAACTATAAAGAGTTAGATTCCTTAATGAAGTTAAAATTATATTTCCTATATTCTCATGTAAACTACTTTTCCATACAAAGTCCAAGAAACCAAGGTGCAGTATTCCCACTAGAAGGGGCTAAACTTTCCCCAAGCAAAGAAAGCTCGGATGTCTCGGTCGAACGTCAAGGTCTTGCTCATCATATTCTTTGACTACAACGGGTTAATTCATTATGAATACGTTTTGAAAGAACAGACGGTTAACAAGGTGTACTATCTTGAAGTTCTGAAAAGGTTACGGTTCGCAGTGTCGAGGAAAAGACCCGAAATGTGGAAGAACGACAGCTGGACTTTCCACCACGACAATGCACCTGCTCACCCTTCTCTACAAGTGACCGAATTTCAAGTTAAAAACTGCATGACGGTTCTCCCGCAGCCTCCCTATTCCCCAGATTTAGCTCCCTTGAACTTTTTTCTTTATCCAAAACTGAAATCAACCTTGAAAGGACGTCAGTTCGACACCATCTCGGACATCCAAAGAAATTGTACAGCGGACCTCAAGAGGATTCCAAAATCTGCGTTCCAGACAGCATTCGAAAGCTGAAAGAAGCACTGAGAGCTCTGCGTGTCAAACCAAGGGATGTACTTTAAAGGCGATAAATTTGATTAAGAGCTATCTTTCGAAATAAAGTTGTTATAAAAGCAGTTCGATCTGTTTTGGAACAGACCTTGTATATTAGAAATTTTTCAGAAATATTTTATGAAAAATTGAAAATATTGCTGAAAGAATTTCAATAATATTTCTGAAATCCGAGAATGTCCACGACAAAAATCTGACGAATTTCACAAAATATTTCTGAAATATAGCAATGTCCGCAACAAAAAATTAGTTAAAAGTTTTCACGAAAAATTTCTAATACATTTATAAAAAAGTTTCAAGATTATTTCATGAAATATTTCACAAAGTTCTGTAACGTCGGGCCGTTTATTATCAACAAAAATTTTTTTTTTAGTACTTTTGCGTGTATGCGCATTTAATACGTGACTTAGATTTTAACTCTGTGAGTGAGAAAAAGAAGAGCATTCAGCTGAAGCGGCAAAAGAACACATGAAAACACCCATCCGTTTGTCGCGCACTTTCCGAATTTTACTCCGAAAGATCGCAAAGTTTTTTTTGAGTAGGTTTAGATATATAAAGGAGCCGCGGAATTCTGCCTGCATCCTGTTACACGACAACTCCCAAAAGTTTCCACTTTTAGAAGCTAAAACTTTTACCATAGAGAAAAAATCTAATAATTATTTTTGTATAAATGAATTGAGAAAATACGATTGCGACATAAATTAAAATTATGTTTGTAATAAATAAAATTGAATTTCATTAGATAACATAATAAATACAAGTTTTTAACAATTTTCCTTTTACGTTCAAATATTTAAATTAATTGTGCAGAAATTAAGTTAATCAAAGAGCCAACACAACTCAAATAAACAAAAGAAAAAGACAACAAGACATTTTTCTTGTTACAATAAATCAATTAGATAGTCCACAATCAACTATATATATTAAGCTTCATGTAAACGAATGCGATTCCTAAATAATGCAAAATCTCTCCTTTCTCATTCCATATTATTTAAACAACAAATTTAGTTAATTATTTAAGTTATTCATTGTAAACACGTAGGATTAGAGATTTTCGCATAAAATATGTTTAGATATTAATAAAACAGCGTTATTATTAAGAAATAATTATAACAATTTATGTAAAGGAATAAATTAATAATTATAAGAAAATTTGTGACGAAAATGGTACTTGGAGAGCCATCTAACGAGATAGGGTCCATACCCTTGAACGCACGCCCCCGATTCTCATCACGCCCCTGAACCAATTAGGGCCCGAAAACTGAAAGAGAATAGTGGGAAAATCTCAGTCAGCCAATTAATATTTGCTGCCATTTCCACTCTTCCCAAATATTGAGGGACTGAAAGAGGGATTATCCTCCCAACCACCCCCCCGGCTTTAAAAGGGCGTGCGCGAACGAAAAACTCGCTCACTCTTGCTTTTCCAGCTTTCCAGTTTTTTTTATCTTGTTCCACAAAGTTCGACCAAGTGCCAGGTCCAGATTCAACTCTCCAAGTACGAGGTGTGTTCAAAAAATAACGAGAATTTTCGTTTTATGAAAAAAATATTTATTTATTCATCTACATTAATGTTGTCGCCTTCAAAGTAGTCCCCTTCGGATACAATACACTTATGCCAACGCTTTTTCCAATACTCGAAACACTTTTGAAACTCGATCTTTGTAATAGCTTTTAGCTCTTTCAGCGATTCGCTTTTAATGTCATCTATGCTTGTAAAACGACGGCCTTTTAATGTTCTCTTTATTTTTGGATATAGAAAATGTCACATGGAGCCATATCTGGCGAATATGGAGGCTGAGGCATCGTTACAGTTTCGTTTTTGGCCAAAAATTCACGAACAAGCAATGAAGTGTGAGCAGGCGCATTATCGTGGTGCAAAAGCCATGAATTGTTTTGCCACAAATCCGGGCGTTTTTTTCGGATTGCTTCACGCAAACGACGTTGAACTTGTAGGTAGTACTGCTTATTGATTGTTTGATCTTCTGGCAAGAATTCATAATGCTCTATGCCATTAAAATCGAAGAACACAGTGAGCATAACCTTCATATTCGACCGCACTTGTCGAGCCTTTTTCGGTCTTGGCGATCCAGAATGCCTCCACTGGGACGATTGAGCCTTAGTTTCGATATCATATCCGTAAACCCATGTTTCGTCACCTGTTATAACACGTTTTAGTAGTTCTGCATCGTTATTGACTTCATTTAGCGACTCCTGAGCAACTTCCATTCGCCGCTGTTTTTGTTCGAAATTCAACAATTTTGGAACGAATTTTGCTGCCACACGTTTCATACCCAAAACATTCGAAAAAATTTGATGGCATGAGCCAACTGATATGCCAACATCATCAGCGACTTCTCTGATTGTGATTCGGCGATCGTTCATAACCATTTCTTTCACTTTTTTCACGTTTTCATCGGTTGTTGATGTGCTTGGGCGTCCGGGTCGTTCGTCATCTTCAACGTTTTCGTGGCCATCTTGGAAACGCTTATACCACTCATAAATCCTTGCTTTACTCATAGCAGACTCACTATATGCCTTTGTTAACATTTGACAAACTTTACTACACTTTATGTCATTTTTTACGCAAAATTTAATACAAATTCTTTGATCCATTTTTTTCACAAACGAAAATCGCCGAGCTCGAAAAACACGTCTAACGTTAGCGGCTGCCACTTAAAAAGTAAGAAATGAATATTGCTGAAAATTTTATCGTACTTCAGGGGCATGTGTACCAACATAATAAAAAAAATTTTATACAAGCGGACTCTCCAAACCCGCGAAATTTAAAAATTCTCGTTACTTTTTGAACACACCTCGTACCAAACAATTACGAGGAATAAAAAGAAAAAGTAAGTTGAAACTAAAAATTTTTATCATTATCTCTCCTTTTCCTCTTCTTATTAGAGTAGCCAATCGAAACTCGTGAGAATAAGTCTTCGAAAAGTATTTCAGCAGGAATTGGGATACTTTTCTATAAAACAATCGCGCCGGTACAAAAATAAATTAAATTCTTTTGTGTGACAATTCTAGCAAGGTCTGGGATATTCACATGCAAGTCCCGATTCCATTGGATCCTGGTGTTTGATGGAAGACTTGCAGTCCAAACTTTTTTTTCTCTTTTAACGCGAAACGCGAAATAGAAAGCTCTAATTCTCCAATTGCTCATCCCGGTTTAAGCGTACGCACGCAGACCAAAAAAGAGCACCTGAGATAACGTCCGCCTCAGACCTACCTGAGATAGTGACCCGGACGTCACAGTTCAGTAATAACCGCCCAGAAACCCTTCTGATAAGTTTTTCAAAATTTATCAGAGATTTCTTGTAAAATATTTTGGTATAAATTTATAGACATAAGCATTTATTCATTACTTATCTTGACCAGGGAGAGCATGGTCCTATGGAAAATCGAGAAGGCATAGGGGATGGATAAGTTTTGTCAAGTGCATGAGATGAGATAACGAGCAAGGTACTTATAGTCTCGAGCAACGGCGGTAACCAAGGTGGCGAAACTTCATCGATAAGAGCAATTCAGAAAGAACGTCAACATGCAGAAGCAGCAAAAAAGTACAAGCTCAAAAATAAATCCAGATGGTGGCTACCTATCTAGATCGGAAATTTCCAGATTCGAGCTTTATAGCATACGAGAACTCGGTTTAAGGTGATGAAAGCTAGGATGTGCCGGTTACCCGACCGTATCAAGGTGGATATCATATGACATGTGATGTTGCATCTCACCGTGGGCAGAGTCACCAAAGAGGTCCGAGTATCATTCCTCAATTAACAGACGTATGCTACATAGGCGTGAACTTCATGAAAAACTTCAAAACCTTCGCCGATCCATCCGCCAACAATATCTTCTTACGAGACAAGAAAGTTACCGTACACATTAACAACTTAATAAAGAATTTTCCCCGCACTTTAGAGATAGGTAGGTTGATTGAAACAGGAACGAGAGAATGCAAAAGGTAGCAAAATCGTAAAGAA